TAGCTCTGGGGCCAAGGTGACATAGATCATCATGATGGAAGGGCATGGCAGAGGAAACCAGTTCAGGACTTGGCAACAGGAAGCAGAGAGAGAGAGAGCTCTGCTCACTAAGGACAAATTATAAATTCCAAAGACATGCACCCTTGTGACCTACCTACTCCTGTTACACCTACCAGCCTGAAGATACCACCTCATTAATCCATATCAGTGGATTAATCCACTGATTAGGTTATTACTCTTATAATCTTAATGTTTCACCTCTGAAATTTCATGCTTCTTTTGGGTGTCACCATATATGCCAACCATAAAATTCTGCAACCAGTGTATACCAAACATTGTGCTATAATAATTCAAATTTGGAATCATTTATTTTCCTTGCAAACTTATATCAGAAATAATGGAAATATGAGTAAATGATGCCAATTATCACTGTTTATATTCAATGTTATTCCAGGGACTTTTAGTCAATGCAATAAGAAAAATAAATAAATGACATAAAGACTAGAAGAATGATACAAGATTTCCACCCTTCATAGAGGATATAAAGTAAATTTGAAAATCACAAGGAATTTATGGAAACACTGTTTGAATTAACACATAAATCCAACACTTATTCAGACTGATGGATAAGTACATTACTTAAAAATCAATTGTATTTTCATATGACACTGACAATAATTTTCCAAAATAAAGAAAAATGAAAATGTTTGCCAATCATACATCCAGCCAAAGACTTACATCAGTCTCTGTAAAGAACTCTTACAACCCAATAGCAAGACGGATATTTCAATGAAATTTAGGAATTTACTGAAGTATACAAATGGAAAACAAGCAAATGAAAAATTGCTCAAAAATATTTATCGTCTCAGAGATAAAAATTGAATAGTTCACACCATGAATAGACAAAGACGTGTAACCCCTCTCCTGTGCTTCTAGTGGGAATGTAACATGGTACAAAGAGTGCGGAGAACTGTTTAGCAGATTCTTAAATTGTTCAACATAGGCCTATCCTATATCCCACTTATTCCACTTACAGGTAATTTTATTTTATTTTTGGTACTGGGGATTGAACCCAGGGATACACAACCACTGAGCCGTATCCCCAGCCAGGCTCTTGAAACAGAGTCCTGCTAAGTTGCTTAGGGCCTCTCTAAGTGACTGAGGCTGGCTTTGAATTTACAATCCTCGTGCCTCAGCCTCCTGAGCTTCTAGGATCACAGAATGCAGGGTAGCAATGAAAATCAAACAAGTGGTTGAAGCTGTTGCTATGGGCAACAATGCAAGGATGTGGATTAATTTATACATAGGAGGAAAGGCCAGGCAGAAAATAATACACACTCGAGGTTTTTATGTATATAAAATTTTAAAATAAAAAAAAAAATTCCCTCTCTCAATTGTGGTAGACATCAAGGCGCTGATTATTCTGGAGAAAGGGATTAGTGACTTAGAGGGGCCTCAGTGGAGCTGCTGAGTTGCTAGAAATGATTTCCTTCTTGATATGGGTCGTAAGTTTATGGACACATTTTTCTGTAAAAAATTTATCAATCTATACTTGCCGTTTGTTTATTTGACTGTAGATCTATAATACTTTGCTAAAGTGGTTTATTAAAAAACTTTTAAAAAGAAATTTAAAAGTTCTGAATGGTCTTTGGTGACTGATCTTTAACTTTGACACAACTAGATGTATTTAGATCATAGAGTCTAATCTACCAATGCAAAACCACAATTATTATGGATTCATTCTTTTTCAAGTATCTTCTAAGCTCCCTGACAGTAAGGACCATGTTCCTACATCCTCGTGTCATGCCTCATGGGGGAATTCTTAATTTCTCTTAATATTTTAGCATCACATCCCTATCAAGGTATATTGTCACTCTGCCTCTCCATTGTGATTTGTTGTTTGGAGAATGTGGTCATCACACTTAGTACCTATATCATGATGTTGTGTACCTAGTAGCCACATAATAATCTTCAATGAATATCACTTGGAAATTATTTCTTAATTTATGTATCATATTTAATAAACTGTACATTGAATCATACTGATTAAAATGCAGTCATGTGATGCGTAACAATGCCTTAATGATAGACACCATAGAGGATGGTGGTCCCATGAGATGGTATTATCAGGTGACACTGTGGTCATCTTAATTTATTTATACTTTATGATGTTTGCACGACTACGAAACTGCTAATGACCGAAACTACCTAAAACTGCATTTCTCAGAACACATTTCCTTTGATAAGTGACATGTGGCTGTAATGACGTCCCTCTACAAATTTTTGAAATTTCACTGGATGTCTATCTCAGCCCATCAGTTAGAGGCCACAGCAACTTGTAGT